AATTTACATGTCAATTTACTTAAAATATGATTAAGTTGGCAAGTAATGTCTAACTCATATTAAATCATATTTCAATTTAAAATTTTATATGGAACCTATATGTAACCTATCTATATTGATATAAATAGATCATTTTTCTAATTCTAAGAAAAAAAACTAAAAAACTAACTAAATTCCACTTATGGGACAATAGTTTCAGGTATTTTATTTTAATTCATTTAATGATATTATATTTCAACTAAAGAATATTTATTTTCCAAAATACACATTGGGATTTTAAACATAAGATTCTCATTAAATTTATAGCATATAAGCTTTGAGGTTCATAGCAATAAAATATTGACAATTTTGCAGCCATTTTATAGAAGATAAATGTTATATTTTCATCTAGTTACATTTTAATTTTAATACTTGATAGCATATCATATATTTAGAAAAACATCATGGGCACCGGTGCATTTTAAATTGCATCTTTCCATGGATATTCCTCTTATAGAAATGTGATTCCGATTAAAGAAAAGGGGTCAGTAGAAGAAAGCAATTTGACAGTAGACTGTCCTTTAAAAATAATATTAATATAAAAACAGAGTGTGGGAATGAGGAGTAGGTGGTATACAACACTGCTAAGAATATTAAAAGAGTCTAATTGGGCAATCAGGAAAAGACAAACAGAAATTAATCAGCATTTCATAATTAACTGATATTCTTGTTAAAATAGTAGAAGTTGTAGTTGAAGACATACCTTGCTTTCACTGAACACTACAACATGTTGTATGACTGAAATTCATTTTCCCCTAAGAGAAACAAATAATGAAAGAAAAATATATTTTCATATATGTTTACCTATATTATATTACATATGTACCATTATTTCTGTTAATTTATGAATTAATAACATATATATTTACACACATATGTTTATGTTTATTTTATAAATAAATAATGACATAGAGAATATTTATGCAAAATATGTATATGATACAAAAGAGAATATGTATGAGTAAGAGATAGAATGTTAACAACTATTATCTCAATATACTAAACTAGAGAGGAGAGAAAGCTAATGTTTAAAGCCTACTTCATAAAAGTACTTTAGCCTATTTACATAAGTTCTTCTGCAAATTTCACTGGCAAGTTCTTCTCTGAAACACTATACTGAATAGGGCCACTACAGAATTCTGAGTAAAGTTCAGGTTTTTTTTCTTCCTGATTCAAAATCCATTAATTTCCTTTTTACTCTGTGGGTTCTTCTGACCTTTATAATAATGTGAAAAGTATACCAATAATGAAGGGTAAAGATAAAATGAGGTTCTAACCTAACAAAATTCAACTATAATTTTTCTCAAGTAAAATCAAAGTATAGGGTTTAGGTGTCAATTAAATGCTTTTAGGTTGGAGTGTTGCTCACAAGATTGACAATGTTTTTTGCACAAAGTGTTTTTATCATTTTGCCATTACATTTATCATTTTGCAAGCACATTGTCATTAAAATCAAATGAATCTTTAAATTCCAATTAAACAAAATTTATATGTATATTATTTACTCCTTTATTTACCTATGTAAATCACATTAACATATATTATTACAGTAATCACATAAAAAGTTATTATTAGCAACATAATACAAGTGAAGAAACTGAGAACCAAAAAATCAAAATCATGTACTAATGACTTCACATTATGACACTCAGTCCTTAAATTAATATCATCAGTCTCCTTCCTAATCATTCTTCTCATGGTCAGTGATTCCTAAACTTCCAGTTATAAGTACTAGGGATGTAATAAGTAGCATGTTAAATACAGTTAATGCTGCTATATGCTACATTTAAATATTGCTGCCCAGCTGCATGGATCAGTGTTTGAGCATCAACCTATGAACCAGGAGGTCACGGTTCGATTCCCGGGTTCGATTCTCGGGTTCATTTCCACATGCCCAGGTTGTGGGCTCAATCTCCAGTGTGGGACATGCAGGAGGCAGCCAACCAATGATTCGCTCTCATCATTGATGTTTCTATCTCTCTCTCCCTCTTCCTTCCTCTCTGAAATAAATAAATATATATATATATATATATATATATATATATATACACACACACACACACATATATGTATATGTGTGTGTGTATATATATATATGTATATATATATATATATATATTTTTTTTTTAAAAAGTTGCTAAGAGCATAGATCCAAAAATTATCACCACAACAAAAAAATATCTTTTATAAAAATAGGAGGTGATAGATGTTACCTGAACTCATTGTGATAACCATAACTTACACAGTGTTATATATCAACTAGAGGCCCGGTGCATGGATTCCTGCACTGGTGGGGGGCATGGCCTGCAGGGATCAGCCCACTGTGGGAGTGCTGCTCATCCTGATCAGCCGAGTGGTACTCCCGCTGTGAGAGCTCACTGACCACCAGGGGACACCTTCTGCATTGAGCGTCTGCCTCTGGTGGTTAGTGCGCATCATAGCGACTGATTGACCAGTCATTCTGGTCGTTCCGTCATTTGGTCGCTGGGCTAGAGGCCTGGTGCATGAAATTCGTGTACGGGAGGGGTGTCCCTCAGCTCGGCCCGCACCCTCTCCAATCAGGGACCCCTTGAACATCCCTCTCACAATCTGGAACTTCTGGCTCATAACTGTTCTACTGCCTGCCTGCCTGCCTGATTGCCCCTAACCGCTTCTGCCTGCCAGTCTGATAGCCTACTAACTGCTCCCCTGCTGGCCTGATTGCCCCCAATTTTCTCCCCTTCTGGCCCAATGGCCCCAACTGCCCTCCCCTGTGGGGGCTTGATCGCCCCAACTGCCCTCCCCTGCTGGCCTGATCACCCCCAACTGCCCTTCCCCTGCTGGTCTGATAACCCACAACTCTCCTCCCCTGCCGCAACCCGCCTTCTATGCCAGGACCTGCCTCTTCTGCTCAAGGCGGCAGAGACATAGGAACCGGATTCCTCTGTGTTGCACAAAGCTGTGCGACCCCCAGGCCTCTCTGCGTGGAGTGGCTGCCAGGCCCCATCTCTGCTGTGCACACAGCCATCTTGTGACGGCCATCTTGTGACAACGTGAGGGTGTGATGCCACCTAGGCTATTATTAGTATAGATAGATATAGATTATTCCTGGAAGAAAAAATAAAACTAATGGTAGTAATCAAAGAAAAAATAAAGTATGATATGAATACATAAAATAACTATGCTCAACTTGGATGGAAAGATTTGAAGAAGTTCCTTACTCCCTATAGGAAATAATCATTGAGCTGAATCCTAAAGAAACTGTAAGAATTAGGCAAACAAAGGGCAAAGAGCAAAAACATTCTGAATATAATAAGAAGATGCCTCAAAGACCCTGAGCATGAACAAGGTCTGATAGATTCACAAAGTAATGTACAAGCGTTCAGTATGCATATGTGTCATCAGGCACCAATTAGTAAAAAAAAATCAGGATTGATTACATTTGTAGATTAAGACATATCTATAACCTGAAAAGTATTTGAGGCAAAAAAGACATGATCAGAATTCCCTTATAGTGTTACCAGTATGTCTGACCTCACTGTGAATAACAGATTGGAATGGAAGAAAGCTAGAGCAGATGACTATGAAGATACTGTTAAAGTTATGGATGGGGAATATGGATGGATGTACCTACAAAATAGTAATGGATTGTGAAGATATGAATAGTAATATCAGATTTAAAGTGGACTTTAGTAATAATATAAGATCTAAACTGGACCTTTAGTTAGTAGCAAGCTTTGGTTTTCTCATTTTACAGAAAAATAGATTGACACCAGGGATAAACAGTGATTTTACCAAAGTTATATAGCTAATCAATCTCTAAGATAATCTGATTACAAACAAATGTCCTAATGTTAGCATTGATGTTTAATCACCTCTTTTATCTGAAGCATCAATACAATCGAAATGTGATACAGACTCTGAATGTGAAAGGAAAAAGGGGAGGCTCTGAATTCTCCCAGGATCTCAGGGGACATAAGGAAAATCAGAGTTGTATTCTCTGTGGCATTCATTGAGATCAATTAAAAAAAAACTTATGTCAATCTGCATCTTGGAATTGAGACAGACTTACTTAGCTCTAATGAGGGCAGTCAGGGAGACTCACAAAGGAGACCTCTAAGAGGGGCTGCCCTGTAGTAGTGTGGGGACCTTGGAAAGCTTCCTGACTCTGCTGAGCCCAGAAGCCTGGAGAGGGAGTGAACATGTATACTGAAGTGTTCCCAGTTCCTAGATTTGAAGAAACACACACACACACACACACACACACACACACACACACACACACTCCTACTTCTCCTTGGCTATGTCCAGCCTGGCCAGGGAAACAGAGGAGGCTGAGGTCAGAGTTTGAAAAGTTAATCCATGCAGAATCACAAGAGTAAAAATGATGTATTATCTACCATCTGCTTGTTAGCCACTGTCCCCAAAAGTCCAACAGTCTGACTGTTTAAATAACAGGCAATGATATTTATTTTCAACATTTGCAGCTGATAATGAAAATTAAATAGTGACACTGCAGAATTCAAATTCATTAAATCAGAAAAAAATGAGTTTTTATTCACTGTGGTAAAATTAATGATTGATTGAGTAAGGTGGCCTGTTTCGTCAGTGATTATTGTTTTAAATATAACCAAAGAACATTTATTTGTTTTTCACTAAGACTTTATCTTAGCACATAATTAAACTGTCACTACCCCCACCCCATCTTGAAGAAGGGTTAGTACAGTGAATGTTATAAAGCAGATATGAAGAATTGAAATCAACATTAACTGACAAAGAAAAACTTCTAAGTCATCATAACAATGTTTAAGTAAAAAAAGAGAAAAAAAGGGGGTGATGGGAGTTCAGATTGAACAAGATCCTCACATATCATCTAACACATTCAATCCTGGCTAGAGTGTACCAAAATGGAAACAGGATTACTATAATACAAAACTTCACTACAGACAGCTGTACACAACCCCCAAATGTTTCCAACACAACTATTTCCCGGCCTGTTGGGCCTGTCGACAAAGGAGCACGTAGATCTTCTCTTTAATCCAATCTTTGTTATAAGGCCGGTATGTCTGGGTATCAGCTCGGTAAACAAGACAGATGAGGTCTGCCAGATCATCAATAAAATCAAACAACTGGCTGATATCATATGTGATAGAAGGGCTGTTGGGGTTCATTCTCTTCAGATGTTCTTCATATATTTTACAAACGCCTGCCATGCACTCATTCACTGATTCATAATCAGCATAAGTTCTGCCTTCTGGTCTCTTGGTAGGCTGTACCAGCAAAATGGTGTGAGACATCGCACCAAACTCTTTCGCTGCAGCCGCCCTCGTCAGTGATTATTAAAAGGAATCATTAAAGAAAGAAGTTGCCATTATCAGTGTTAGAAAAATGATTAGACAGAGAGCCCTGAACATGGTCCCGGCTCTTAAGCCGAGAGTTCCACTCACAACCTTACTCCCACTCTGAAAGAACTGAGCCTCCCCAGAGGACAAGCACCTTTTGATTCCGACTCAAATCTGTGTTGCTGCAGTATGCTACGTATAAGAAGGTGGATGTGTTTTTTTTTCTTTTGTAAAAGAGATTTTCCAAAAGGCTGAGAATGGAAAATCTGAGTATAGAGTTTAAAATAGGTTGCTATATAGGAAGGGGTGGGAGATTGTGAACTGAGTTCAGGGGAAGAGAGATTTCCACATGGCATTTTGTTCCTTTGAAAGTTCAAGTCCTTTTTCTCTTGAATAGTGCTAAAGGATGAGGAATTAAATAGGTCTCTCTAGGAAGGATTATCCCTTTGTGGAGGCAACTGTCTAACAATAGGTTAGGGTGAATGTGGCCATGTTATTGGAAATGGATTAAGGAATACACTTAGCATTAAAGAATCAGCAAGAAGAAAGGAGGCATATGGCCAGCTACTAGTGACAAGTTATTAGGAATGTTCTGTAAGCAAACTGCTTATTTTCATATACTGGATTTCCACTGAGTACCTGCACATGAGGGAAAGCTACTAATCTTTTGTGCTTTCATTTTCGAATTTGTGAAATAGTTAGAATAGTACTTATGTCCTAAAATTATTGTAAGAGTTAAATAAGAATTTTTTAAAAAATCCTTAGGTGACTCTCAGTCTAGATTGAATTTTGGGGTATTGCTATACTTTTGTTGTTCCTATTGTAGAAAATTATGCTCATCTTCCACTAATGATTTCTCCAAAAGAGTTAGTGAGGGATAGCCAGGGAGAGAGAGCCCTATTCTCCTAAAATACATTTATCAGGTAGGAAGCCTAGTATTTGTTTTCTTGCCTTTTCTACATCTGAAAAGTTCCCATCTAATATAATAAAAGAAAAACATGCAAATTGACTGTACCTCTGCTATGCCCACAAGCCAATCAGGGGTAAATATGCAAATTAACCCAACTAAGATGGCGGCGGCCTAAGAGCTGGAGCAGACAGGAGGCTTAGGTTGCCCCAGCGATGGAGGAAGCCAAGCTTCCCACTTGTCCTGCTGGCCCTGAGCTCCACTCAAGGCTAAAAAGTTTCAATTATAGAAGATAAATAAATCCCAAATACCTGCTTCCAGCCTGCGGCTGTGGCCAACCTGAAAATGGTCCTCAGCCTCTCAACCAGGCTGGCCAAACCCCCAAGGGGTGAGGGTCCCCACTGGAGGGCTTGGCCAGCCTGCAAACAGCCATCAGACCCTCACCCAGGCTGGCCAGGCACCCCAGTAGGGCCCCCCACCCTGAAGGGGCTGTGGTTAACCTGAAAACGGCCCTCAGCCCCTCACCCAGTCTGGCCAAACCCCCAAGGGGTGAGGGTCCCCAAGGGGCGCTTGACCAGCCTGTAAACAGCCATCAGCCCTTCACCCAGGCTGGCAAGGCATCGCAGCGGGACCCACACCCTGATCCAGGATACCCTTCAGGGCAAACCAGCTGGCCCCCACCTGTGCACCAGGCCTCTATCCTATATAATAAAAGGGTAGTATGCAAATTGACCCTAACAGCAGAACGACTGGGAATGACTGGTCACTATGACACACACTTACCACTAGGAGGCAGACGCTCAATGCAGGAGCTGCCCCCTGGTGGTCAGTGTGCTCCCACAGGGGGAGTTCTGCTCAGCCAAAAGCCAGGCTGACAGCTGCCAGCAAAGTGGTGATGGTGGGAGCCTCTCCCGCCTCCTCAGCAGCACTAAGGATGTCTGACTACAGCTTAGGCCTGCTCCCTGCTGGCAAGTGGACATCCCCCGAGGGCTCCTGGGCTGCGAGAGGGATGTCTGACTACCAGCTTAGGCCCAATCCCCCGGGGAGCGGGCCTAAGACAGCAGGTGGACATCCCCTGAGAGGTCCCAGACTGTGAGAGGGCACAGACCAGGCTGAGGGACCCCCCTGAGTGCACAAATTTTTGTGCACCAGGCCTCTAGTCTACACTAATACAAGACAAACATGAAAATTGGTGTCACTCCACAATGCCGACCAGCCAATCAGAGCAACTATGCAAATTAACCCAACAAAGATGGCGGTTAATTTGCATATGCAGACACAGAGCGAAGACTGAAGGCTCCAGCTGAGTGAAGACTGAAGACTGAAGAGGCTTGGCTTCTCTGCTGCGCCTGGACCAAAGGTCTGGGTCCCGGGTGCTGGAGGAAAACCAATGCCAGCAGCCAGGGGAAAGAAGGCCTATTGCGTGAATCTTCACGCAACAGGCTTCTAGTTATTTATAAATTTTCTTTCAAATTAGTCAAGATCTCTTTGAGGATAATTGGAAGTGATTCATATATTTTAAATGCTTAATATATTTCCCTTAATATGTTAGGCAAACCTCAAAAACATTCCTTTAATAGGACTAGATACCAGCAGATAATCCATAAATAGACTATAACATTCCCCAGATCACCTCTTCTTCAACGGAGGCTTTCTGATTTCAATTGTGATGTGCCTGGGTTCAGGGAGTTAAGTAGTTTGAATCCTCGAACTACATGGTTTGGAATCTTGGCTCTGATTTTTCTATGCAATAGGACAAATTTTCTCATCAATAAAGTATAGGGTTCCTATGAAGATACAATGAGTTAATACATGTAAGTTTCTTAAGAGTTTAAATATTCAGTGAATATTAGCTATTATGTTTATCATGTTTCCTTTCAGAACAAAGGCAAGGATTTCCCATCCTTACATCAGTAGCCCAGAATACAGTTACTGACTCTTAAATAATGCATTTTATTGAATAAATAAAGGAATGAAGTTAGAATGTCCTTAATAAAGAACTTATATTTAGCCTATTCTCTGGCCCTGACAATACTGTGAATTAGGAAAAAAATGAGTTTTTGTTCACTTGTTCTTCTCTTTTTGATTTGCTTCTACCTGTTTGAATTCCAGTAACTACTTGAAAATTTCAACTACCCTAAGATATAAATAAAATAAAATATTTAATTGGTTTTACCCTTTATCAGGATATGGTATTGATTTTAAATTTTTAAATCATGCTGTATTGTGATGGACATAAAATTATCTGGCTTTCTTCAAATGTAAAGAAATAAAATGTAAGGCATTAAAAGTTGCATTACTCTTAAAGGGAGTCGTGATGGTCCACTTGATGCCTTTGAAGTAGGCATTCATATGCGAATGGGAGATGTGCTTCATTATTTTTTTTTTCCTGTGCTTCATTATTAATGGAAAATGTATGTAACTATTAACCTTGGATGTCTATAGAGAAGCTGTTAAGCTTGGAAGAGTATGTGACTGTGCCTCCAAGTTATGAGCTCAGCAAGACTCAGTTTCCTTAGCTTGCTTATGACCAAGGATATGGTTTTCTGTGGAGACCTAGGGAAGAGATGCTTGAACACCATCATATGTCATTGCCCTTGGCAACAGATTATGGGAACCAGCACCTCAACAGAGTTCGCAGTTTACCTAGGCCAGCTACCATTCTGGGATGAGTGTTTTGTCATTCTATTACTGCAGAGGACATTACAAATCAATTCCCCTGTAAGTCTGGGACTGAAGGCCTTGGCAACTGTAACCAGAGAATAACTGAGGTCATTACCAGACCAATAAGTGGGGAAGAAGAGAGTATACACAGTAGGCACATCTCCAAGTATCCAGGTTAAACTAAAGTAATGAACATTAGAAATGAAGGTATTAGGAATATGAGAGAGGAAAGAAAGAAGTGAAAGGGAAGAGGATTTGTGGGGCTAGAAAATATTTTCTACACAACTGAAATCATACCACATATCACCACATAGACACAAACCTGGTTCTATTAAAAAATATAGTAAGACAATACTGAAATTAAGGTTGTTGGGCTTCTTTAATTTTCACTGTTCTTATAAAATGCTATATAGTATACTCTAAATCCAATAAAATATATTTTTTATTTTTTATCCATATTTTTATATGATTTAGAATAGCCATTAATAGGATATTAAATATATTGTCAAGTAATGAAAATGCAATGATTTTAGGGCACTGGAAAGTGCTATGGTAATGGTGAGTGGATATCACTGTTAATGTGTTATTACTTCAATAGCTATAGTAAATACGTAAATCTTTATCTTGACATTGACTTCAATAATGTTGCGCTTATTTTATGTTATGACTGAATTAACAGCTACATAATATCATATACTCTACTCCCTTTTAAACTTGTTTTAGTTTAAATATAAATGAGTTTTACTCATAAATTAGAAATAGTGTTTTCTACTAAAAAAAGCAAATGATATACATCACCATTCTTTATCCTTAAAAGCAAAATCAACCATTCTACTAGATTAATTCATTTATTACAATTAAAGAATTCATATTTTTTCATAATATAGGAAATAATAATGTTGCTATCCTATTATACTACATTTATGTGGAAAATATTGGATCATTACTTAGCATACTATTTTATCTGGACAAACTCCAATTCAAGTGAATTTCCAGCTGCTAGGATAATGATTTTCTGACATCTTGCTCAATAGGAGTGCATCTCCTACCAATAAACAAATATCACCTACATACAAGAAAAACACCTTGATAAATGGAAAATACAATAAGCTTGAAATAACATCATTTCTTTTCGCATAATCATTTTGTGTTTAAAAATGCATATTACCTAATTATTCCTAACTGCTTCTCATTGAAAACTTTTAGTCTAAGTTGAAGAGTGCACATAATACTCTTGTCCCTGTGATAAGCCAACTTTTATGCTGCTGAACTAAGTCTGAGGGACATGTCTGGTTCTCCTCCCATTACCAACTATGAGAATAATATTGAACCACATATCTGCGTCTGTGATGATCTCATAAATAGTACCTACACACTGAGGGTGAGGAAAGGCACTGGAGTGCG